TGCCTCCTCCTGAGTTTTTTGACTCTGGTCTTCAAGCTTTTGGCCAGTTGCCTTCCCTCCATCCACTCCCTTCTCTTCCGAAGCTACAAGGTAAGACTACAGCACCTGCACAAAAGCCATCCACCCCTTCTGCAATCTCCCTTCCAGCACACAAAGCATTTTTTTCCATTTGTTCCAAAAAACTCCACCACAGTGATGAACCACCCCTTCTTGTTTCTATTAAGTTCTGTTACATATCTCTTGCCTGGAACTGACATGGAGTTTTTCCAACCATTCACCTTACCAGAGTTGATAGCCCCATCTATGAAACCTTTCATCCATGCTATGACCTCCTATGACTCCAACACTGTCGCCCTGTTATTCTCTCTGATTTTCAGTGCAACCTTGCCTTTGGTCCTTTCCTCTTCGAACTTGAACGTCTTGCCTTCGATCGACACCTCAGACCTCCATCTTCCTACTGCTCTGAATCCTCTCTCGCCCTTCATTGCAAAGTCAAGTATAAGAGCAATCTAAATTTTCATTCAATGTTAAAAAATGAAAACTTATTTATTCTAACTTGATACCTTATTCCTGAGGGAAGTTTGAAATATATCCAATGATTCTAGGATCCAATATTCACTTAACACTTTGGCTTATTTCAACTGAATTGGGCACATTTCATCTTTGATAAGAAGCAGACACCCATAAGTGATAGGAAAAAAAGTGCCTTTTCTGTTTCTTCTAAGAATCACTCTTTGGCATTTGCTTTGGTTTCAAATATTCTAGCATTTCATTTACCCCTGATGGTTCAAAATACAGTAAAAGGGATCATGGACCATAGGGCTTTGCTTCTTTTGACCTTCTAAATGCCAGCTCTAGATTAATGCAGTCCGAAAATTCCAAAAAAATTGGGAGAGCAGTGGATAAAAAGATGGTATCAGTGGTGAGACACTTACCATGACTGCAGAGTGTACCTCAAAAGGTCCTTTTTGGAGGCTTAGGGGCACCAAATTATGTTGCTGGGGAACTGGACCATGACTTTGTAATGTAGAAACAAATCTGATGGGTTCCAAGACAAAATTTCAGAATCAGGGTGATCGGGAACTAGACCATGACCTTGTAATTTTAGAAACAACTCAGCCAATGTCCTTACCTTCCTATAACCGGTTCATCCTTAGTCCAGGACTCCACACTACTTCTGGTTTTATCAATCTAAAAAACATTTCATCCAATTGTTGAGTCTCTATGAGAATCAAATAGAAGCTCATTATTAAATCTCCTCCATAGGCTTTATGGTTCTTTGTTAAATCTCCAAATCCATTTGCTTAGAAGAAAACCATTCTAAATGTGTCTCATCTCTGATCCATCATTAACTCTATGTGCATAGAGCTTCTTCTGACTCTACCAATGTTTTCAACCACAGAGGCGTGATGCAGGGCTTTCCACTACCTGGAGTGATGAGGCATAGGTCAGAACGTAAGAGGCGTAAGCCACCATAAGAGGGGGATGAGGAGGAAGTAGGAGGGGGAGGAGGGAGGATCTCATCTTTTTTTCCCTCTTTTTATGAAAGATGTCTCAATGTCTCATATTAAAAAGAATGACAATGCATAATACTAATCAGCACATAATCTGTCAATGTTCCTGGATTTATCCTTGAACAATCTTTCATTCCTCTCCTTCCATATTCCCCAGAAAATAGCAAAAAGAATGTAGCTCCAAAATATGCTAGCCTTATTGCTAACATTAATTTCTGTCCACTTAGAGATCCCCTCAGGAATGTCAGGAAGATCAAATTGAACACCAAATGAAGAAATGAAATGCCAAACAGCAGTTGCCATCCTGCACTTGATCAATAAGCATGACACATTGTCCCAACTATTATAACATAAATAGCATATACTTTCCATCTTGAATCCCCTATTCTTTAAATGATCTGATGTTAGAATACCATCCAAAGCTAGAAACCCAGCAAAAGCTTCCACTCTAAAGTAGAAAGTGTCTTTGAAGTCAGGATGATAAAATTGGTATCAACATCCAGATATGGTTCTTTACACTTCCATTTGAGAGTGATTAATGAATTTGAGTTCACCGTTGCTTCCATTGATTAACAAGTGATTCCAATCAACCCTAAAGTGATTAATTCTAGAAAATCCAACACTGGTTCTAGTTGATTTTCTCTTCTTTTTTTCTGTTTGTCTCTCTCTTTTTTTCTGATTCTTTCTATTTCTACTTCTAGTTGTTCTTTTCTTCTCCCTTGTCTCTCCAACTCTTTATTAGCGTTGTGTTTTTTCTAATGGTGCTTATTGAAGCTTGTTTGGTGGTTCAACTTCCAATATCTGCACTCTTAGTTCATTACTAAAAGGAAAACAATCAACCTCTTGTTAGATTTCAGCCTTTCCTTCGGTTACAATTCTAGAGAAAATTTCTCTAGAATT